AAACCAAGCTTTTCTGTATACATTTTGGAGATGTTTTGCTGCTAAATGTTGGGGCTGCTACTATATTTTACCCCCATTTCTGCCCTGCAAGTCACAGCATAAGCCTTTAAAAGTGAAATAATGTTTTTTAAGGTTTTGCATAAACCACTGGGGCCAATGTTTTTGGTAAGCATGGCACAAGGTAAGCTTGTACCCTCCTCCAGTGCCACTCTGACCTGACCTCTTTTCTCTGTCCAACCTCTTACTCTTTCTTCTCCCATGTTACTATGTTCCCTGCTCCCTCACCAGTCTGCCCTGAGCCATACACAGGGGCTACCCATGCCACTTTTTGGTGGACGTGCGGCAGGATGACAGAAATCATGCCTTGAGTAAAACAAAAGATTTTTTTAGTCTGATGTACCATTGTACAGTGCAGTCTAAGAGGAAGAGAAGAGAAGACTAAGAGAAGCTTCTTGTGGACCATACAATATTTTCCATTTCTGTGTACGAAATGGCTTATAATGAGGGTTGTAATGCCAAAGCTAACTTCTAAAAAGATACTGCTTATTTAAAAAACAAAAAAAAACTCTTCACACTTTCTGGAAAGCACACAAAACTTTTAATATTTCTGATATTAAAACCTGGAATATTTAGTTTTCCATGCATTCTGAAATGGACGTTTAATTTTCTCAGAGTCGTCATCGCTATATTTACGCCCAGTCTTACTACCTTTTACTGATTTAGGCTGAGGTGGTGTTCACTGCTTGTTTTATTCATTTTATCTCTTTTAAACTTCTAAAATCTCCAGTATATTCCCAATATTTTTCAAGTAAAATACTCTTTGTGAATATCGTTCGTATTCAAATATGTCTATAATACTGCATAACTGAAGTATTTAATTGCAAACTCCTTTCACAATTACAAAGTTGTAAGAGTGTCAGGAAGAGGTGATTTCCTTCTAAAAGAAAAACAAAAAAAAAAATTATGTTTTGTTACATTGCTACATAAAATTGTAGGGATTTTATTACAAAGCTTTCTCCAGCTTGATATTAAATATCTTCCCTTTTTGGCAGGAATGATTGCCTCTGAATTTTTTGACTGCAGCCAATAGTTTGAAAACCTCACTCCTCCTCTTAAAATACTGTCTTTCAACAGGAAGTTTCCAAGGTTCTAAATGTTGCTCTATGGACCTCTGCTGTCTCTGGAGAGTTAAATTGTTGATTCTTTTATCATGAAAATAATTGTCTTTGCCCTCCTCACTATAGCCAAAATCCAATAAAAATCTCTTCCTCCCTCCGAAAATCATAGATTCATGTGTTATGTTTTCTTGTAAGATTCCATTTATAAATAGTTAATATGTTATTAACTGTTGTTTTATTGAAAGGACAATCAATAGTTTTGTGGTTACAGTAGGTGGCCCAATGGCTGCTTACCACTAAGCAGTGGATTATCTTTCCAGTGTGCCTATAATTATCACTAGCACATACAACCTGTGTTTGGAATATAGTTACTGATCAGTAGGAATTTTGTATAAAAGACCAATTGAGATAAAAACATGACTGTCATTAAACTCGAGCACCATCAATTGCTTTATTCACAGCGAGTCTTGGCAGTGCACTTGTCCCTTGTCTGACTACCCCTTTCTATCCAGATATTATATGCATGATTGCCATCCAAAACTTTCCATCGTTTCATCCATGGCTTTCAGCTTAATTCTGCTGCCCATCAACCTTTTCTCCTCAGCCTAATTTGTAGCACATCCCTCTTTGATCCCTTCCAAATCAGCTCCTTCAGATACCTTTTCCCTCAATACAAGCAACTCAGACTATCCTGTCTGATATTATTTACCCTGCATTCAGTCTTCTCTGTTGTCTTTGTTAAGCAGGAAGCCCAATCTTCTGCCTGTTCTCTATAGCACCTGTACTTGTTCTAGGCTTCTCAGCAATACGATTTTTTGCAGCCTGTGAACTGTACTCTGGAGGCATTTTCTTTTGGGTCAGCAGGGCCATCTGAAGAAGCAAATACGTCCACTGTCTGCATTCTGTAGTACAAATTCTGATTTAACTTTCCAGACATTTAAATTTAGCACCTTTTGTAACTTAGAAATGCCCATGGCCATACAACATGTACTCAGAATTCATGCAGTTGTTAAGGCTGTATTATTAGGCACATTGCTGTTTTCCAGGCATTCATTAATATTAGCTTGAATACCTGTATTTTCAAAGATTTCCACAGAGATTTAACTGTTCAGCTGGATGACCAGTTGAGGACATTCAGTTCTATGGCATTTAGTATTTAGGTTTTAATTCTAATTTTGGAAAGAAAGGAAGAGAAGGCGAACAGCAATGCACTCTTGCCTTCTAGCCAACCAGTGTCAGATAGGGCCTTACAGGTCAGTTTGTAGCTGGTGATATAGAATATAAACTTCTGCACATAATCTGCTCATTTTATGAAACAGAAATGGTAACAAAAGACAAACTCCATTTGACAGCAACATCAGGCCTCATGCCTCTGCCCTGATTCAAAGGGACTGTAGCTGTGGCTGTCTCTTCTAAGCAGAGCTTGGCTCTGCTGATACAGAAGCTGAAGGTTTTTTGGTTTTGTTTTTTAATTTCAGAACAAGAGGCATCAACCTTGTGCCCCTTCATGGGGTTAACCGTGGCATGTTTATCGTGTGGCAAAATTAAAGAGCTTTATTTTCAGTTTCAACATTACAAAAAATGTGATTTTTCTGTCAGAGAAAATCTGAAATGATCACAGTTTTATACAAAGAAAGGGAAATTGACAGGAGCCTTTCAGGAGGAAAAGCATTGAGCCAAGCTTCTGTTTCAGATCTATGAAATGCAGATTTTTTTAAAATTTCTGTCCTGAAAAATCTTTATTACATTTATTAGCTATATGTTCCATATCAGGGTGAATGTCCCCCTCCCCCAAAAAATCTCCCTTCTCTATGAGATGGAAATTTCATTTTCTGGCCAGTTCTAGTGTTTGTCTTCAAATTTTTATTGTCTTTTTAGTGTCTTATTGTGATGGGCTAGGGGCTTATGGAAGCAGGTGTGTCTGTTCTGCTGCTTAGAACTTCAGGCTGCACTTGCTCTCCCCAGCAGGAGATAAAAAGTCCCTTGCTCAGCAGCTGAATTAGGATCCAGCTTGAATCGAGGATATTTTCTTCACTGTTTGCATTTGGATTGGATGATGCTAGGGAAAACAGATTTTTTTACTCTAAGGTGACTCATACATCTTGCTTTGTCTGAGACTTTGAAACCAAGATAGCGTTTCCTAAGGAAGTCTAGATCAGGAAGTCTATTGTCTAAATTGTTGCCCTTTTGCGCTTGGCTCTGAAGTCTGCTAAAGTTCTCTCAGCCGGTAGCAAGATGTTGTTATGAAAGGTACATCCTCCTCTTTTGTTCTTTCTTCCATGCAATTAGACTCCTATTGTGAAAAAAACTGTAGCACAATTAGTTTGGAAATGTGTTAGAAACTTGAAACTCAGATCACCTTTTTGAAGCCTTTTGAGCATTCTAGAACTGTTTTTTTGTTTTACGTTTAACTCCTGAACAACTCACAGCATATGTGGTTTCAACTGCATTTCCAACTCATTAGGACCTGAAAATGTGCAAGTTGGTGGCTTGTGTTCCTACTCAGGACACATGGAAATTATGTAGTATTTCCTCCCTGTGAAATGTAACTGTTAAAAGTAGCACAGATGCATCCAGAATGGTAGTTGATCTTTAAAGGAGGTATATCCACAGATCCCATTTCTATGCCAAAAATATTTTTTGTAAGTCTCATTTTTATAACAAAAATGCTTATTAACATTTTCTTTAAAGTAAAACTCATGAAAATTAGAAATAGCATTGACTTGAACTGATGCAAGAGAAACCATATGTGAAGAAAATATTCCACGTCTTTCAGTCATTAGTCATCTCCTGTACTAATTTTTTTGATCAAAGTGTACAAAATGTCATTTTAAGTAGACATAATAAAGTTTCTCTAAAATTAAAAAATAATCAGGAGTACTCACAATTACTCTTGATTTAATGCCTTGTCCTTGTCTTTTTATGGCATAGTTCTCAAAGGCAAATTAGGAAATAGGTTATTCAGCAGGGTTTTCTTTTGTTCCTTTTGTTCATTTTGCATTATACTTTGTTGGAAACGTTTCATTAACAATCTCTACGTATTAACAAATTAATGCAAAAAACATTTGTACTCTCTAGTAGTGTTGGTATTTCTGCTGCTTGAAAGTTACTTGAGGTAGAACAAAGGCAAGGAAAAATTACAGAGCATGACAGTATCCTGAAAAGTTTAAGTTGATTGGATTTGTCCTCTAAAATAATTATGCAGAATCTTAGATAGAGTTGATAATGAACTTAGATGATGTTGATGTACTATCATTATTTTCAAATATGTATTTGTACTTTTTAATACTGTATAATAAAAACACCCTAGATGTCCTTGGAAACTTCTTAAAGTGTGTGTGTGTCTAGTCAATCTTGCACAATATTTATGTAGGTCAGTTATATATTTGAGGACCCACATAAATATTGTGCATTATTAACTGTCACAGCTTAATGAACGTCTAATATAATACTTGGGAGATGATATAGATATAGATATATAACTATCTACTACCAGTTGGATTTTATTTGATGTAAAATGAAAATGAAATGAGGATATACTCAATTAGTGTCAAACCTAGGAGAGAGCGTAACTGACTTAAAGGAAATTTTGTCTTGGCCCTTCATTGTTAGCACAGTTTGACTAGGAATTCAGTCCAGTTGCTCTCAAATAGTTCTAATAACTTCCTTCCTTGAGAGAGCCAAAGCAAGATTGATATTTTACTATGAAACATATATTTGAAATAAATTTAGTATCATAAAGTATCATTTTCCTTTCCCAACTTTCCTCACTCCCTGCCCTTCCCCTCCACTCTCTTCCCCTTCCCCACTCAAAATTAAGCTACATTGATATGTTTTCCTTTGACCCTTTATACATCTTGTGGTTTATGCTTTCTTTTATAGGTGAAATGAGGAATGATTTATACATCACTGTAGAAAGAGGAGAGTTTGAAAAGGGAGGGAAAAGTGTGGCCAGAAATGTGGAAGTAACAATGCACGTTGTGGACAGTTGTGGTCAAATTTTAAAGGTACTTCATTCATTTTATTTTCCCTTAGACAGATGCTGATACCCTTATTCACATTTTCTTGAAGACATGTACTTCCATTCGATTCAGTGGAACTGTTTGAGGAATAAGGAATTACTTTGTTTGAACCATATTGTCTTGAATTACTTGTAAACATTCAGATCATGTGCACTTGGCTTTAAGTCTTTGTAAAGTACAAATTTTCTTTATTTTTTACAACTGACTATATAACCTAAACAAGCAAAGAAACCAAAGGTAGCATATTGATTAAAATGGTGGAAGGTTTTGAAAGAAGGTACATTTTTTCAGAACTTCTTCTACTTCATGATACTTTTTGTTTCTCACTAATATAAGCATTTCCCCTGTATACATTGTTTTAGTTAGGCACACATTCTAGTTCCTTTACTCATTCAATTTAATTATTGATTAAGGAATTCCAAAATATCATGGGCTGCAGGGCTCTCAGCAGGGGCAGCAGGGAGAATGCTGCCACCACTGTGAGTCCTGCAGCTGCCAAGGCGTGAAGTGAGGGCGATGTTCCAGTGATGCCCCTACTGCAAGCCCTGCAGTCCATGTCAGATGCGGGACTTGCAGCAGGGGTTGTGCAGGGAATGTGCGAGCCCTATCGAGCCCTGTCAGCTGTAGGCCTCACACCCACAGGAGCGGGTGCATGGGGAGCCCAGGATCATGATCTTTGACTTCCCCCTGCAACCACAATAAGGTCTCATGGGATCTAATGCATGATCCCAGGATGGTGCCTCCTGCTGGTAAACTGCTCCCTCCACTGCCCGTTCAGTAGAATATTTGTCTTATTATATTGTCATTTGCACTGTCTAAATTAAAACAGAATTTAGCAAACTGTAAACAATACTACAGTTTGTGTTTTGAGCTCTGGTGAGAAAATATTTAACCATTAACTCTGCATTTTCTCAAATGTAATTTTCTGACAAATTTGGTTTATTAATCCTGTGCCTGCTGTCCTATTTACTGGCCACGTCATATGGTCATTGGCCTTTTGAGCAAGTAATTTAACTTGTATTTGGACTGTGAAGTGTTAATCAATCAGAAATTTCTCTTTTCTATGAATAAGATGCTTGCTATCTGAATTATTTTATTTTAATCAGCTAAACACCGCATATCAAAACCAGTCATATGCACAAGAATTTTTTGCCTTCCCAATTTTTGAACATGCAATTCAGAAACATCTTTTTACTGGTAAACAGCTAAGGAACCAAATGCCACTTGCTGTCTGATATTGCCCTTATTACTCCCAATATGATGGGGTTTAAGATGTGGGACAGAACATGGCTGCGCTTCAAGCTGCAGCTTTTATCATGTACTTTCATTATCAGTCAAGCATCTAAACTGTTGTTAATCTTGACTTGTCCCTTCCTATTTAAATCACGTCTTATCAGGTTTTCATGTGTTGAGTTAATTTATTTTATATCTAAACCAACTAAAATCCCCCAACTGACCTGTTACTTGGGACGTGAATGGGAAGCATAGAGGATTCTCAGTTTCTGTATGATCAGTTTGGCTCTCATTTACATTGTTAGTTCATGTCCATGCACTTACTCCCTCTGCAGTGAAATTTATGATCAGATGTGACCCTGTTAATATACCAAACCACATTAGACTCTTGCCAGTGGCCATATTGGTACCAAATCAAAAGGTTAAACAGTTTCCTATAGCAAGAGTGGCCAACCTGTGGCATGGGTCCTAAAAGCAACTTGGACAGCCTCTGTGTGTGGGATGCACACAGACCAGGGAGGGAACAGCATCACAGTGGCAGATAAGTCAGAGCAGAAAGCAGGCAGCACAGGGAAGAAACAGAAGGCAGAGCAGTAGATTGGGAAGGGAAAGGGGATTGGAAATGCACTCGGGGAGGGTGTAGGGATAATTTGTGACATGCTTACCGAAAAGGTTGACCCCCTCTACCCTATAATAACATTGTCTGAAGTTTAGACAATGGCAGAACCTGTCACTGTGATGTCAAGGTACCTGCAAGCTGCTCAAAAGGAGGTAAAAATCACACCCACATACAAATGCCAGAAACACCACCACATCCTGTTTTAATTAATGATAGATAATCTGAAATGTCAAAGTAAAGAAAAGGCTGAAATAAATGGTCTGGCTTAGTTATTTAAAAAAAAGAAAAAGTATTAAAATGAGGTTAGGGCTCCGGCCGGGGAGCGAGAGAAGGCTCCGTGGGGCTAGAGAAGAAGATTTCTCATATGGCTTCTGGTCTCCAGAGATGGCCAATGACAGCTGAGTCAGGACCCACTGGCTCTCCACCCTGCTTTCCCACTCTCTCCTATTGGGGCTGGGAAAGGGGCAGTGTGGGGGTCTGAGGCAAAAAAATATGCAACACCCTAGAACGCCTGGTTTGGGGAGGATACCTTTTATTAGACCAACTATGAAATCACAAAAAAAAAAAAAAAATCTTTTTCTGTAAGCTTTTGGGCTCACATGCCCTTCATCAGGTTCAGGGAAAATTTAAAGATGGAAAAAGTTCCTGTAGGTAGGAAATAAACTTCATTTTTGCACAGAAAATGGTGCAAAATGGTCCTTGCTTTTAGAGGATCAGTTTAAGTACTTCATTCATTCTGTAAATACTTTTTCAAGTGGGAATGTGTATGCTTGCAGTTTAGAATGCTTCCAAGGCATCTGGAGCACTTCAAATGCTACCTCTGCCCACGGCTTTGTTCTTTTGTTATGAAGTAAACTGTCCATTCTCCTAATCTTTCTACTAATCTTGTCTCTGATCCCATTCCTGGTTGACTTCATTTATTTTGATTTTAAAGAAAGCACCATTGTACACAGGCTTTTAGATGAGATCACACCAAGGCCCATATATAGTGACTTAATATAGGAGTTGTCAACTGGGAGTATACATACCCCTGGAGGTACTTGGGAAGGCCCCAGGGGGTACGCAGCACTGGCAAAGCGAAGCAGGGGTACTTGGGAAGTGCCACCACTGCCGCTTTGCTTTGGGCCACCGGGGGACCGCCCCATCTTGCTTGGCAACTGGGTGCTGAGGAACCCCTACTCCCCATTCCACGTCCAGAAGTGGGTACCCACCAGGAGGAGTACCCACCAGAAGGGGTACTCTCCTTAAAAAGTTTGAAAACCCCAGGCTTAATGCATACCTGTCTCTACTGCAGATACCTCATCTAATACCTTCTAAGATCACATTTGCCTTTATGAAGCCACTTTGCACTCAGTGAGCCATAAATGCATCTACACATGTGCTTTACTACGGATTAAACTAATTAGCTCCACAGTAAAGCATCACTGTCTACACATGCTGATATTAGGGCGCAGTAAACTAATTAAATCTGCTGTAAAATAGTACTGTCGGGTACAGTACTATCTTACGGTGGAGTAATTAGTTGCACTGAAACTCCTGGTTACTGCCTAACCACACAGCTTCGCAGGTTCAGCTTTCTTGTGCCCCAGCCAGCCCCAACACTGCCACCTGGAGCCTGGGGCTGACCACCCCCCAGGTGCCCTCTGCCAGTCTGGGCCTGCTCTGCCCTGGCTCAAATTGCTGCTGTCCTGGGTGCACATGTAGACACTGTGCTCAGGAGCAGTTTACTTTGGCTCAAACAGCTCCGGAGTTTATTGCTTCACCTTAATTTCACATAGATGTACCCACTGTCAGTTTATTACTTAAGTCCAGAATATTGCATAGTTCTTCTTTGATGTTCTAATAATCTTCTGTATTGTTGATGCCTCCTAACTTCTGTTTCTTCAGCAAATTTCATTAACATACACTATAACGTTTTGTACCAAAGTCTCTAATGAAAATGTTAATATAAATATTTAACAACATTGATTCCAATATTGATGCTTAAGAAACTCTCATTGTAAATTAATGTCTTTAAACCATTAATCCATTTGTTTTCTTCATTAGGATTTTATCTCCTTTGGTTCTGGGGAGCTGCCAGCTAGTGAATACCACTCCTTTGTCCTTTATCATAACAACAGTCCCAGATGGGCTGAGCTACTGAAACTTCCTATTCCTGTGGATAAATTCAGAGGAGCACACATCCGCTTTGAATTCCGACATTGTTCCAGTAAGCATTGTACATGATTTATTGTTGTATTCTGTGTTAGTTCCATTAAGCACGTGAAACTTTATAATATCTGAGGAATAGAGAGAACTGATTAAAGTTCTCTTTATAAAGTTTCATAATTGAGCTTTTCAGTGAAACTAGCTAGTAAAATCCAAAATGAGGGGAAATGTGTTACTTTATATATTGCTCAATCTCCTAGTATTCTGTAAGTGTGTGTAGACATATACAGAGAGAGAGAGAGAGTTTGTTTTTTATGAATTTTCTCCTTAATAATAATCAAATCGTCCTAGCATCCTATATTCTTGGTCAAAATAAAATAACTGCAACACTTTGAGAGAGATAAGAACTCTGTTCTGGTGATGGGGAGTTACAAGATGAACACGGGCCAACAATGCAAGGTCACAGTCAGCAGGGCTAACCGGACCTTATAGTGTATCCACAGATGCATCTCAAGTAGGGCCAAGGAGGTGATCCTCCCCCTCTACGTGACACTGGTCAGGCCACAGCTGGAGTACTGTGTCCAGTTCTGGGCACCCCACTTCAAGAGGGATGTGGACAGCATTGAGAGGGTCCAGAGGAGGGCCACCCGCATGATCCGAGGACAGCAGGGCAGACCCTACAATGAGAGGCTATGGGACCTGAACCTGTTCAGCCTTCACAAGAGGAAGGCTGAGGGGGGACCTTGACCGTCTATAAACTCACTAGGGGGGACCAGAAGGGTTTGCGGGACACCTTGTTTCCCCTAGCGCCCCCCGGGATAACAAGGAATAACGGCCACAAGTTGTTGGAGAGTAGGTTTAGATTAGACATCTGTGAGAACTACTTCACAGTTAGGGCGGCTAGGATCTGGAACCAACTTCCAAGGGAAGTGGTGCTGGCTCCTACCCTGGGGGTCTTTAAGAAGCGGCTCGATGCCTACCTGGCTGGGGTCATTTGAGCCCAGTTTTTCTTCCTGCCCAGGCAGGGGGTCGGACTTGAAGATCTACAAGGTCCCTTCCGACCCTACTTCTATGACAAGGGTGATCATTCCATTTTTTTTCCCCTGCAAAAATCTGTTCTGATGTCTGAAAAACTGATGACGTGAAGAACCTGGGCCAAGGTGAATGCCCCAAACAAGGGAAAATAAAGATAGTTATTTAACAAAAAAAAGCAGGGGGATGGCATAGGCCAGGCTCTCTCTGTAGAAGAAATGTCTTAAAACTGCAGCCAAAATATGCTCACTGTAAAAAGCTTTGACCTGTGTCATACCTACATCTTACTCTGATACCATCTCTCTAGACCACACTTTCACTTTGGGTAAGCCCAAATCTTATCCTTTGGTTGCATGTCTCCAGTATATCTAAAACCTTGAGTACAAGCACATTCTAATAATATCTACTATCATCGGAGATAGCATGCACTGTATAAATTTCAACAGTAGCAAATATAATCAAAAGCATGTGCAGTGGCAAAATAATCCTGACGTTTCACAAGGAGGCAGACTAAGCTGTATGTACAAGCAGCAGTTCTCATGCTGTCAATAAAAGCAAATTGCTTAAAGGAAGCCTTGCACATGAAAACTAACTGGCTAAGCTGACAGAGTACTCCAGGGAAAGCAGAGCCTGCTTCGACAAGCATTTGTGGGATTACAGAGCAGCTAGGAAATCAAAGATAGATATATTTGCATCAAGGAATTACATCAAGATAGTTTAGAGTTTTCCCATTAGGTCAAGAGTAAAATAAGTGTTGGTGGCCCAAGGTGTGTATCTAAATGCTCAAGAGGCATTTAAACCTTGCAAAACATCAAACTCTGTGAAAGTAATATATTTGTAGCATAAAAATCTTTTCTTTTTCTGAAGCAACCATTTGAACAAGCATTTTCTTGTTGTTCTAAAGTGCAATTTCAGCTTTTGCAACTGCTGTGTTGTTCTTCTCATTTTCCTTTGAGAGAGAGAGAGCGCGCTTTTGTGAACCAAAGTTCACTTCATCAGACATTGTGAAAAGACAACGTATCAGGGTAAAGTGGAGTGAGTAATTAGAATACCATAGGTGGAAAAATAGGAGGGTGCGGGAGGAAGGAGGTAAGAGGAGTGCTGTGAGAGACATATAAATAGAGAACCCATAGGAACAAAGAGGTCACAAAAATTAATTCCAGTGATGAGATAAGAATCTGTACTCTCTGTTTAAATCATACTTAATATAGTCCAGTTTTATGATGTCCTGTTCTGTAATTTTCTGTTCAAACTGGGTTTTAATATTTTCTCTGTATTGCTTACAGAGATCACCAAATCTATTCAATGTAGACAGTAGATGGGCATTGTAACACATGTTTTTGACGTAAGAAATCTAGCCTACCAGTCAATGTTTTGCCTTTGAAACAGAATCTGGCATCTTGTGGGGTTTTGTTGTTGTTTTTGATTGGTAGAGGCCAGACAAAGGTAGAGTCTGAAAGATAAATGTATTTGTGTTTGTTGTTAATAATAATCATAGGGATTTATATTGGAGAATTGGAGTCTTAAATTGTAAACTGCTTGAAGAAGGGATTTGTTTTGCTTTAAACTTTCCTGCAAAATGCTATTCATGCCTTTGGCACCTGGATTGGCATAGCCTAGAACAATAACATTGTTAATTTATTACAATTTCTAAGTCACAGCAATGACAAAGTATAGATGTAAATTAGTGGAAGTAAAATATAATGCATGCATGCAGTTTTCACCTATGAGCTACTAATTTTCAATACGGGTATAAGCTTTCCCAGAAATTTGCAATGTCAGGTCCAAGGTTTAGCTTTGGGCCCATGTGTAATAAATGCATTATATCAAGGGACTTGCAAGTTTATTTCCTATCCTCCAAAAATGAAAGAATCCCACTATTACCTCTCTTGGAGCTTGGTATCAGTTCACAGAAAAAATAACATGACATTTCATAACCTAGGAAGAGATTTTATGTAATAAAGAGATGTAATGTGTCTTAGTATGGAAAAAAGCCAAATTATGCATATACATGTTGGATTAGTTTGGATTGCTTTATCTAAAACCTACATTATAAACCCAAATCCTGAATGTGGTGATGTTTTTATTTACATGTGTGTTTCAGCAAAAGAAAAAGGTGAAAAGAAGTTGTTTGGCTTTTCTTTCGTGGCTCTGATGCAGGAAAATGGGAGGACATTGCCAGATGGCACTCATGAACTCATTGTGCACAAGGTAATTTTAATCAGAAATCATTAACTGTGATGATTAGTTTGAAATGTACTCCAAAAAATGCCCAGAAGCATTAGACTGAGGAAGGCTGCAATGATTGCCAAATGAATGATAGCTTTGTCAGTGTTTAAAATATCCTCCTTTGGTACTCCACTGAGTATATGTTCCCAGTTTGTAACTGTGGTTGTATCTAGTTATATATTTCAGCGCAGTGTGTTTTACTGGAAAGTAATAGTATCTTATAATGTGTATTTAAATTGTACGCAGAATTCTAGATGCATAAAGAATTCTATAATGCTAAAAACTGTTATGGCATATAAATGCAAGCATAAAAATAACATTCTTTCATGTTCTTAAGAACTATTGAGAATATTTTACCGTGTGACCTCTCTTCTGGCTACCTCCTCTGCAAACCAATCTGCCATAATACCTGTTTTAAAATTTCTGATTCGAGTCTTCAATAAATGGAATATATTTCTGTTGAGATGGAAGTTGATATATCATTCATGAGTTAAATATCTATAGGTCCATTCAAAATTCAGCAGAATAGATAATGTTTTACATCAAATGTACAAGTACTACTAGAGACCCAAAGAAATTTTTCAAACCTAATGAGAACTGTCCCTGAAGACAGGATAAAAGAAAATGTTTCAGTTCTGTTGATGCATGTCTACAAGCTTCAAATTATTTCAAATCTGCCCATTTGAAAACCATAGCTATTTTTAATTATACAGCAGGCTAAGTCTTCTTTTCAATAGCTGAGTTTGCTTAGGAACCACTCTCTATAACCACATTGGCTTATAAAGCCATGGGTAAATACTTTGACATAAAGAATTAATAAACCTTGTAAATATTCTTTTTGATAGTTTCTTTTACCAATAATATACTAGATGTTCTAAATACATTTTTGAAATAGGGTTATATAAAACCTTGGGTAGGTATTTTTTGGTGTTTTTTGTGCATTCTTAATACAGATGGTACCTTTGGACATTTATGTTGTTTTATGTTTAAGCATCTTACTTCATAATTTATTCAGTATTTTGCACAAGCATATTTTGCACATGCTTTTTAAATTGTGTGTCTTCAAAAGTGCTTTGTTAAAGGTATTAGCATTTCTTAATGTAAAATGATGCTGTCAGAAGTAAATACAATGCACCATTTTATGCCTCACTTTTTTTCCAAGGAATGCACTGTCTCTAGCAGAATCGGCTCGTTGCAATGCATTCTGGGTAAGATCCTCATTTGATGAAAATGATCAGTTGAAGTCAGTGGAGCTAGGACAGTTTACACAAGTTGAGGATATGGCCCTTTGTATTCTGTGCCATGATTTTAAATCTGTTATTTTCACAGTGTGAAGAAAACACAAGCCTTCAGGATTCTAGTCGCTACCTCAAACTCCCCTTTTCAAAGGGAATTCTCCTAGGGAACAACAGCCAAGCAGTAAAAACTACTAAAGAGTCTTTCTGGATTACATCTTTTCTCTGCTCCACTAAGCTCACACAAAATGGTAGGATAATACATGTGTGGGTTTTTTAGTACAGTGAATTCAAATGAACGTGATGGGTGGTCTTTTCAATGCCAGACAGGTATTTGTACACTTGCATTTTGACATAAAAAATAACTGATACTGTTTTCAGTTTTAAAAACACTGTTTGTTCTTTAGTTTTGTTGACCAGATGGAAACTGATGGTACATGATGAACCATTGATTTTTATGTAGTTCAAGGATGCTTTTAAGATTAACACAATATTGGAATCAAATGCAGTACCCTTGGAATCAGCCATCAAAACCCAGCTGCTTTGAAAAGCCTCTTAATCTGTTTGTTTTACAGCTTTTTATGAAGTGCTTCTTGTAGGCTTCTGGATAAAGTAGCTCTACTTTAATTATGTAGATGTCTTGTATCTTGCAGCTACGTAGCTTTCTCATGTAGCATTACTTTTTTGCTTTTTTTTCTCTATAGTAATCATTTAGCAATTTATGATAGGTTAAAACAACCTGGTATACTTGATAGTGTTGCGACCATTACATGTAAACAGATTTGTGTTTGAGGGGTTTTTAATACTGTACTGAGATATTTGGCTAGAATCCTTATGCCACTCTAATCACAGGATTTATTACAGCAGGGAAAAAACTCACAAACAACCAAATCTTTTTTTTCCTCATAAATACTCCCATGTATACATGTTACTGATCATGCTTGTGATATCTCCTGTTTTATAGTCAGTTGGTTTATCAACAAAAGAGAAAATAGCAGTGTAGTTTAATTGGTTGAACTGATATTATTAGCCTGTGTTGAATTCTTCACGTCATCACAGTGTGTACAGTGGTCTCTCTACATCTGTGTGCCTCTGGGGAGAGCCCTGCACACTGCTACACCCACACCCCCTCCCACACACCCCCCCCATGCAGAACCCCCCACAAACCCCATACCCACCCACCCTTACCCCTCCCCCTCCACACCCTCCCCCCACAATATACATAAGTAAGACATCATTTTGAGCTATTATGCAATCACCTCTATATACACAATAAAACATAGAAATCAGGACGAAAATATATTTTTTTAAATAAATTAAAATACATTATTGTCAATGTTTGATTTTTAGTATATAATTTGGTTTTTTTCGGTTCCAAGATGGCAAAACCCCTTTCCAAAAGGAGTACTTTTAGGGGCAAGGGGAGGGACTTCCCATGTCAAAGGTCAGGGGTAAGGGGGCGGGACTTCCAGTCCCAAGATGGTAACCAAGGGGCAGGGCGCCTGTCAAGGAGCAGGACTACCCTTGCGGCCCTGGACAGCTTGCCAGAACTCATTAAGTGGCCCTGTAGCCCAAATAATTGCTTGCCCCTGATATGGACAATGCCACCTAGATGGTGACAGTGTTAATTATTTGAAAATGGCAGCTATAAAGATTTTTAATTATAACCATCTTTGGTTTTAATGAGAATATTCTTCTTTTTTAATTTTCATTATGTTATGTTCAGTGTCTTTTCCCAAGTAAGACTGCATACAAACAATTAAGGAAAGCATTTGTAGTCTGCTTTTCTGTGTACTTTCATTCTGTATTCTCAATATTGTCACTTTGCAGCTAACAATTCAAAAGATTGTTATCCAGATGCTATTAAAAAGAGATAATGGACTAATTGTGCACCAGTTACAGATCCTGGATCATGGTAGCACATTAATCTATGAAGGGCAGTAGAAGAGTGATTTAGAAATTGGGTCTAGAAATTGAGAAGCAAGGATTTCTTAGGGTGATATCTTTTATTGGACCAATTGTGTAGTTGGAATAAAGTAGACAAGCTTTTTAATGCAAGAGAGCTGATGAAGAATGTCTTGCCTTTGAAAGCTTGTGCAACTTTATTCCAACTATATACCATATTTACTTGAATATATGGTAATCCTGAATTAAGATCCCCCCCCCCCCCCCCCATTATTAGATTGGGAAATTTGGAAAATTTATAAATTTGTTATAATTTTCAGGTATAGAATCTAATTATTGAAGGTTTGCCTTGAATTTGTTCCTTCCCACTGCTATAGCCAGGAATATTAAATCTACCAGGGTCAGGTGGACCTCTTGCCTTCTACCCCCACAATTTCTTTCCCCTGCAGCCCTTTTCCTCCCCTTATTGTTAGGCCCTGCTCTCCCTGAGCGTATGGAAGTGAGGGGCATATTTGAAAACACTGATTCTGAAATAAACATGCCTATAGTAATTTGTATGTAGGCAAATTACTGTGATAACTCATAGACTTAATTCATCCAGAATTTATGCATTTTACCTGCTTTGAAACTCCTGCAAGTTTCAGTACAGGTACTCCATAACACACTTTTAAGCACTTTATATATAGTATAAACTATGCATTATATCAGCCCAAAGTTAAATGGGAAAGAAAGGAACAGTTTAGCAGTGGGTGTAAAGAGGAAGTTAAAATGTATTCAGTTAGTGGCTAACCATAACTTTAAAAAGAATTGGCGCTATGGAGGACTGAGCACAAAGGGCACTACCATGTATCTCATTCAGATGGGCTGCACTAACTTGTGGTGGGTTCTCATCAGTATGTTTGCATAATATGAGCGTGTGTTTTAGAGTCATGCTCAGTGTTGGCTGCATTTAACCAAGTTCATAGTTGGTTTCCATTACTGAGCACATGCTGCGTTGAATGACAGTTCATTCAATGAGGTTTCCTTGTATGCAAAGGTAAGATGAGGAGCTTCTTTCCCCATGCTGACTGGGGGGAAACTTCTTATTTAAGTAAATATGGTAGTTGGTCCAATAAAAGATATCACTCTAAGACATTCTTACCACTATAAAGGATAGTATTCTGTTCTTTTCTGGATTCTTAGATAATCTGATTTGTTTGGCTTCATCACAAGTCAGCAACCTACCACCCATGGAACCATTGATCCATCCCCTGGAATATGGGGGCTTTGGTGTTCAGCAGTGGAGGGCTTTGCCTGCACTTCAGCTTGTTGCTTTGGCCATGCCACACTGCTGCTGGACACCAGAGAGAAGTGGCAGAGGTGGTGGCATCCAGTTCCTAGAGTTGGCCTGCTTGGACCTGAGCTTGGTTATTCCAGCCCACTGTCAGGAAATCATGCTGACCCCTGCTCTATGGGGTAGTCATCTAAGCACCAAAAATATCACTTAGCTATTGAAAGGTTGTTACTAATACCAGCGTTTTACTACAAATTAGATAAGGAGAAGAATAAATTAAAAAAAAAAACCATGAACCATTGATCCTCTCTCAGCTCTAAGAGTTCAGAGTTATTCTAGCAACACTCCAGGGGCAGAGGATATTTCTGTATATTGCTCAGTAGCCAGGATTATCTTTCCTTTTCAACTTTCTCTTTCCAAAGATATTATTTGGGGAGGTTCACCTTGGCAAGTTTCTGGCTCTCCATTCTTATAAACAATTAAACGATTAGGAAATGAATGCAAAGCAAAGCATGCAATTACTTGGTCTTTTGATCATTACCTTGGCTATCCCTCCTGGGATTCAGCATATTTATTTAAAAAAGAATGAAACATTTAAAGTATAATGTATTTACTTTTATACAGTAAGCATTCATAGGAGCAGCTTTGTATGGATAAATACAAATTTTACTATGTTTATCTACAGTACAGCCTCATTATAATGAACCCGCATGGGACCAAGAGAAAAGTTAATTAAAAGAAAATGTTTGCTATAATATGATGAGTCAATTTGCTGCACCAAAAAATGAAAGAAATTTGTATCTGCTGTTGGGCTGGTTAAAAGCAGTTCTTATGACTGGGGTTTATTATGATGAGGTTGAACTGTATTTCAATTTTTTATGAGAGAGAAGAATATAACTAGAATTGGAGGGTGTGACCAAGAACTCAGTTGGAGGTCAGGATGTTATCACAGTCACACAGGAAAAAAAGACAAAATACAAGGAGTGTGGTTCAGTTAGGCCAAAGCACTGGAAACACTGTTCTGGAAACACTACCCAGCAATAAATCACAGTGCCGGTCTTCCTTCTTTCCTTGACCATTCCTACCTATTCTGAGAGGACTGCCTTTAGCCCCCACCATTCACCTTGCCATGAGCATTAAGGGGAATAGGGAAAG